ACCCCCACACCCACCCACACCCACGCCCACACCCAAACATACACGAGAAGGTACTACAAATCTTGTCTCATCTTATCCGATTTTGTGTGATCTCATGCTTAGTTGTTCGTCGCAAACCTATCACAAAACCATTGATAGCATCAATGAAATCTATATATACATATATACATATATACTAAAATTCTATGTGACGGAAAAATATTCCGTAAAATTTCAATGAGCCAACATCTTTACTCTGCAATATAAATGTCTTCAGCTGCGCTTCGTTAAAACAAGGATATATCTCAACGTTAAAGAGAACTCCGCAATATTTCTCTAAGCTCGTTTTACTGGAACAATACAAACGAGCAAAATATTTCTATATATTCGGTATAGAAATCAGTTTTTTGTTTTAATTAATTCCACCAATAAATAATCTCCTTATATTCAATTAAGTGTTTGCACATAGACTATCAGTTTTCTACATATTGATAATATAGAATGTATTACATACCTTTTAATTTTCTATCTTTCTATATTTCTAATGTACAGGTAGTATTTTCTATATTCTTCCAAGAGTGAAAAAGCAGATTTCTGAAGATTTCTAAAGATTTCCGAAGGTTTCCAAAGATTTCAAAAGAGTTCTAAAGATTTCCAAAGAGTTCCAAAGAGTTCTAAAGGGTTCTAAAGATTTCCAAAGATGTCTAAAGATTTCAACAAAGTTCTAAACGGTACTAAAGATTTCCCAAGACTGCAAAAGATTTCTAAGGATTTCAACAGAGTTCTAAACGGTTCTAAAGATTTCTAAAGATTTCTAAAGATTTCTAAAGATTTCTAAAGATTTCTAAAGATTTGTAAAGATTTCCTAAGATTTCAACAGAGTTCTAAAGGGTTCTAAAGATTTCCAGAGATTTCAGGGATTTAAATCTGCTTTTTCGACCTTGTATTCTTCACTTCAAAATAAATCTTTTCCATAATCTTAAATTGATTATACACGAAAAGTTTCTTCTAGACTTCCATATGCAGTATCCAGAAATCGTAATTTGTATACTTCTACATGGGCTATATAGAAATAGCAGCTTTTATGTTTCTCTATTCATTATATAGAA